CACTTCCCTCCAGAGGGAACATTTTTGGCTCCAAACTCAAAACATTTTCCCACAAAAGACCGCCTGAACAAGCTTTTGGTATTATAAAGAAAAGGATCTTCACTCCAACCTCAACGAAAATCTCAAAATCGTTCAAATTCGCCGTCAGATCTTCCTACTGAGTCGTCCTCCTCCTCCGCTAGTGAGATCTCAGACCATCTGCTGTCGATGGAGAGCCACTCGAAGCGTCAGCGAACAACACGCCTCGCCGGAAGAAACTTGAGGCGAAAACTTTGTACGGACACAGCTGTGGTGGTACCGATTTTCAGGCAGTTTACGGAGGTTGAAGATGAAGATGAACAGATAGATCTCGCCGTCGAGATCCGTCGCCATGTCGAGGTTCTAAACTCAGGCTTCTCAGATGCAGAATCTGCTCGCGAATCTGTAGAAGAAGCTGCTTCTGCTATCTCCGATTTGGCTAAAACTGGTACCGGAATTATTCATTTCTCATCTATTTGGCTGTTGAATTGAACATTTCTCATCCTTGATTTCAATTTGATTCTTCTGCGTGTTTGGGCAGGTTTCGAATTCTACTTTGCAATTGGTTTGTTCTAGCTCATGTTTCTGGGCTTAATTTTGTGTTCTTAATTGTTTGTATAGATGAAAATGTGGACACGATTGTGGCAAATGGAGCTATTCCTCCTTTGGTTAGATATTTGGAATCTCCGTGGTCTTTGGCAATCGGCGGAAATTTCTCCAAATCTTGCGATCACAAACTGGAGAAAGATTGTGCTGTTGCTCTTGGACTTATTGCTGCGATTCAGGTAACTCAATCTTCAACTACTTGTGATGAAATTGTGGATGAGAAGTAGTGAATTTCAATTCCTGTTGGAAATTGCAACTATCTTAGATGCAATAATCTGTGACAATGATTGTTTCATCGGAATTTGGATTGAATGCAACAATCTTGCACTGATGTTTACTAATGATAGCTTTCTTTGTTGTATAGCCTGCTCACCAGCAGCTCATTGTGGATGCTGGTGCTATAGTCCCGACTGTGAAGCTGTTGAAGAGACGAGAGAGTTGTTGTGGGTGCTTGGCTGCTAATGCTGTTATTAGGAGAGCAGCTGATATAATCACTAATGTTGCTCATGACAATCCAAGGATTAAAACAAATATAAGGTATGAGTTTCTCATATTCTTATGGTTTTGATCATGATAATGGTATTTTTTGTGTCACTTTAACACCTTTTCAAAATTCCTTTCAGGGTTGAAGGTGGCATTCCACCACTTGTTGAGCTTTTAGATTTTCCAGATGTTAAAGTGCAGAGGGCTGCTGCAGGGGCCTTGCGAACCGTTTCATTTAGAAATGATGAGAACAAGAACCAAGTATGTTTTGCTATGGTGATGCATTTTGTTTATAAGGCTTATAAGAGGCATGTTTCTGACATGAAAAGCAACTATGTAGATTGTGGAGTTGAATGCTTTGCCTACGCTTGTATTGATGCTTCAATCAGAAGATTCTTCAGTGCATGGCGAAGCGGTTGGTTCTTATCTTGCTTTAGATTAGTGCAATTGGTTTGCTTTGTTTAGTTCCTTCTAATATGCTACGGACTTTTCAGATTGGGGCAATTGGAAATCTTGTCCACTCATCTCCTGACATCAAGAAAGAGGTTATCCGTTCTGGTGCTTTACAACCAGTAATCAATCTACTTAGGTATGCTTATTTTTCTTTATTCTGCTTCTCTACTTCTACTGAAATAGATGTTTACTTGTAAAAATTTGGAAGATGTTTTGTAACTGTTTGCTATGATATCTGCCACAGCTCCATTTGTTTGGAGACACAGAGAGAAGCAGCTTTATTAATTGGTCAATTTGCTGCACCTGATTCAGATTGCAAGGTATGAGCTTGTCTCTTTTTAGATATGATGTACTACAACCTGATCATATGCTCCCTCAAACTCAGTTTGTTATGACGATAACTAAAAGATGAATTCAAACTTGAGTAAACATGCTAAACATAAGTGGCAACATGATCATGCAGGTGCACATTGCCCAGAGAGGTGCCATTACACCGTTAATTACTATGCTTCAGTCATCAGATGAGCAGGTCATGGAAATGTCAGCTTTTGCTCTTGGTCGTTTGGCTCAGGTAGTTATGTTTTTGAATCAGCATGTTCATTGTTTTTGTTGCTTCTGGAATCTGGCTCTGTATAGATTAATAAACCAGACATGTTATCTGATAAGAACAAAAATTGTAATTCTTTTTTTGCTTTGAGCATAAATATATACGCCAGTAAATCCTCAATGTTTTGATTATTGCAGGACACACACAATCAAGCTGGCATTGGACACAGAGGAGGCATAGTCGCACTTCTAAATCTTCTTGATGTGAAAACTGGGTCTGTGCAACACAATGCTGCCTTTGCTTTGTATGGCATTGCAGAGAACGAGGTAAACCAAACTCACAAATTCACAATGAAATAATTTCCAGTTCAGCTATACTCTTTGCTCACTATGCATACCACAAGCACTTACTATAAGTTTTTGTATAACAGGAAAACGTGGCAGATTTCATAAAGGCTGGAGGCATTCAAAAGCTTCAAGATGACAACTTCACCGTTCAGGTATGCCTTCAACTGCTTATGTATGCAAAACCAATCTTTTGGATTTCCAAATTCTGATTGCAATTATTCTTTTTGCAGCCGACTAAGGATTGTGTGGCGAGGACATTAAAGAGGCTAGAGAAAAAGATTCATGGACGACCTGTGAGTACCTATTTCTGTTAGACGTTCTGATTCGTAGTTTAAGTATGGTCTTGGTTTTAGTCTACTGACGCCAAACTCTTATCTCAGGTACTAAACCAATTATTATATCTAATGAGAACAACCGAGAAGACTATACAAATTCGAATTGCTTTGACTCTTGCACATCTTTGTGACCCTAAAGATGGAAAATTAATTTTCATTGATAACAATGGTAATCGTCTCATTTCATAATTTTATAAAGAAATTTATTTTGTTAGTTTACGGTTCGTGATCAATAGACTTGTTACTAATTCAGGAGTAGAGTTTTTGTTGGAGCTTCTATATTTCTCAAGCATCAAGCAGCAGAGATATGGTTCAAGCGCTTTATTCGAATTAGCTAAAAAAGCTACATCCTTTGCACCAGAGGATTCAGCTCCTTCCTCACCCACCCAAAGGGTAAAAAAAAATCTTCATTTCTTGTTTCAAGTATCAAAACGATTTCTGATTTGAGGTCTTGACTTGTTATTGATTGTAATACTGAAGGTATTTTTGGGTCAGGAATTCGTGAACAACCGTACTTTGTCCGATGTCACATTCCTAATCGATGGTACATCATCAATCAACCCCATTTATGTTTTGATCAAATCTACCTATTATAACACATTTTTAACTGAGTATTTCCATGACATATATTAGGTAAACAATTCTATGCTCACAAGATTTGCTTGGTAGCTTCCTCGGATATATTCCGTGCCATGTTTGATGGTCTTTACAAGGTAAGCTTCCGAATCGACAATTGTGATACCCATCTCATCATAATATCACTCAAACTAATTTGAGAATTGGTTTTAGGAACGCAACGCCCAAAATGTGGAGATCCCAAATATAACATGGGAAGTGTTTGAGCTTATGATGCGGTAAACTTTTGAAATTTCTTAACATTCCCACTTTAGAATATACCATATAAAAAGCCAAGAGTCTTAAGAAGCGGCTCAAAACACAATGTGCAGATTCATTTACACAGGAAGAGTTAACATCACAAAACATTTGGCTCAAGATCTGCTTGTAGCAGCTGATCAGTATCTTCTCCAAGGCCTCAAACGTCTCTGTGAATACACAATCGCACAGGTAAACAACGCAAAATCGAGGGCCTTGTTTGTTTTCTCTACAGAATTGGTCTTGTCTTTGTGCATAAATATAATTGACTTTACTAATCTTGCTGCAGGACATCTGTGTGGAGAACATACCATTGATGTATGACTTAGCAGATACATTCAACGCTTCAGCCTTAAGACAAGCTTGCACGCTCTTCGTTCTTGAGCATTTCACTACGCTCAGCTCTCAATTATGGTATGTAGAATCATTACATCATTACAGTACTTTTTTTTTTGGAAACTGTAACTTATTTTTCACTCAAATCAGGTTTTGTTCATATTATCTAATGCAGGTTTCCCGTGTTTATCAAGAAAGTTATCCCTGAAATCCGGAATTACATCACTGATATTCTTACACGACCAGTCCAAGCTAGCCCAACTAGTGTATAAAAACATTTTAATTGGTTCTGCTTTTGTTAGATAACTAGTCTGTATTTTGTTACTGCTATAACTCAATAATATCAAGGGGTCCTCAAAA